CGCTCTTCCACCGTCATTTGCGTTCACCAACCGGTTTCTCGAATCGTCCAGCCTTATCTTTCGACGTCTTTCTCGGCATCTCCTTCAATATTTTGCTCGAACCGTTCTATATCAGTCTCTTGGGTTTTCCCTATACCACCGATCAAGGTCGTTACCTTTGTAAAATCACAAAGTAAAATCAAGACGCATAGTTGTCGGAAATAGTCGTCACTGATCGTTGTCAGTTAGTATTATATAGCTTGCATAAGAACGTGCGACGCGTCTTTATTGATTTCTAATTAGAATAATTTCCTTATTTCATCATCGTGATCGTTTCGTCCACGAGTAACATTAATAACTTGAACAAAAATTTTCTGCATTCTTTTTATTAAAAAAATAAATTTTTTTTTGCTTTCGACAAAAAGCCAATTTAAAAAATTTTAAAAATAAAACAGTAAAAAAGACGTATGCAAATAAGTCTTAGGTAATGTCTGATAGTATTATTGCTAATATCTTATAGTTTATCGCTGATGTGACGATACTTAAATTGGCAGCCACGTGTCTTGATCTTGCAAAAGACTTAACTCGTTTATATACATCTTTGAAATTTTGTTTCTTACGTTATCATTATTCAAAAATAGCTCTTCTATAGACAGATTTTTCATTGTGTAAGTATCACAGTTCGACTGATTTGACATTTTACATATATTATTGCAGTACGGTGAAAATTTTTCCAAATTAGGTGTCATTGACATTTATAAATTATTGTATTATAAATTTTTAAGAATACCCTGTATATATGATAGCTAATAATAATAACAAGTGGAAGTTTAACACAAGCATCATTCATGAATGGCAAAATTCTTCATGATTCCTGTAAATACTTTGTTTTTTTCCTGTCTTCTCATGAAGAATAGTAACACGTTTTCCTTTTAATTTATATCTGACTCACTGATTTCCACACACGTTGGTTTAAAATGAGATAAAACTTTCCTAATAGACGGAAGAAAGAGATGTGTTGAATCGTACGTGTAAATTGTGTTGGCGCAATTAAATTATTGAAGTTTAATTGATTTGATTGAACAAGTGTTATTAATCATCATTGAGATTGTATTATTTGTTATTGGATTATATAAAGCCAATTTTTATGTAATTACTTAGATACTTAATTAAATCATTTTTTGATCTCATCTGTTTTATGCTATTCCTTAAATATCTAAACTATTTCATATCGGTGTGACTCTCGCCGAGCATACAAGATATTATCTATGAGAACACTTGAGCGAAAATTCAAATCAAGATATTCCCACACTTTTCTCAACTAAAATTGTCAGTAATATTGTGTCCCATATTTTTATTAAGTAATTAGTATTGAAACCGTTATTAATGACCAAGTCATGAATGATAATCTGCAGCTAAAAAGTTTTAAAAAATTTTAAAATTTTATTGGTTTTGTCCGATGTACAGGCGTATTTTAATTTTCTTAGCGACTATTAGGATTCGATGTTACTTGGATCTTTTACACGAGAGATTTATTCGAACGCGCTTGGCCGCACCCTCGAGATTGACGCGCACTCGCACCCTTCTCCCGATGTTTTCTCTTCGACATAGGTGCACTTAGCTGCGTAATGTTAACGCGAGAAAAGCCGCGTATGATGACGTTCGCAGAATGGAGGTAATCGGGAAAAGGCCACGCGCTCGTGCGTAAAATTGATTTCCCCGTATATGAAATCCCCGTTTACGCGCGTTCTCCAATGACGTCACTTGGAGGACGCGATTCATTCTCGTTTTCGCGTCACAGCGCCGGCAACAGGTCGTTCAGTCTGCCCGCATAGTTTGTACGATCCGCCGACTCTGCCATATCAAAGTGGGGAAGAGTGTGGTTTTCTGTCTAGGTGGAAGAATATAAAGCCCCACCAATCGGTTGCACGGCCGGCAGTTCACGCGCCTCACGAAACGACGATGTAATGCGTGTGCATCCGAAAAATCGACGGCGCGTTAAGGAAAATTGGAAAAGCGGTGGTTTCCTTATACCCGATCAACGCAATCGCGATCTATCTGTGAGCACACGCGAGAATTTATCGAAATATCGCGCGTTTCGAGTATAATTTTTTCTCCTCTTCTCTTATACATTTATATATGCGTACACATATAGTCCTTTTGTGTATAAGGTGAAACTATTTTGTGGATTGTTCATTTCCTTTTGTGTGAATATAACATTTTCTTGTGAAACATACGTACTTTGCACGAGAGAAATCAACAAGTAAGACTACTATACTTCCCTAATTTTGAAATGATTTTATCCGTTTTGCCATCAGCTTCTATTTTTGCGCATATAAAAGATGGTTTTATGAAATTTTTTCCTGCATATACTTATATAAAGTGACAAATGGCTTTTACTGTTTCTAATCGTTTCAAATTATATCTCTTTCGTATCGATAATTGTCAATTTGAACTTGAATATTATAAGTGCTAAATATGAATGATAAAAATGCGTCATAAAAAACTGATAATTGATGTAGTTGCTAACATGTCTTCTTTTTCCTTTTTAAATGTACTGTTTTTTATATTTTGTCACATCGTTATATTTAATGTTTTCACGTAACAATATAATCAAGGAATTATGTATAATATTTTTTTTTAGTTACTTAATTGAAGTCGATCGTTTATGATTATATAGCTGATGAAACTTCTTATATTACAATAAAGCGATATTATATCACAAATATTTACGGTTGATAAATCATCCGAAACGAGGCAGGTGTCGATTTAACGAACAAAGCAAATTATTGGAATGTTAATGGGATACAGTAAGATAAATAAATCAATCGTAAAATATTATAAATCAATAAATGTAATACAATAGTAATTAAGATTTAAATCAATAGACTTCATTTAAATCAATAAGAAAATGGATTGTTAACATGTTAATAGGTTACATTGTGTCTATGATTTCAGTAATATGTCGTTTTTTTTTTGTTTGATTATCTTCTATTTATAATGCTGAAATGTATTTAAAATTAATTCCTGTAAATATATATCACGTTTTATGAATATTTGATAGCATCATTAATGATGATGACTTTATAACATGTGCCTTTTTTTCGTTACGTATTGCATCGAGGACGATATAATCGCTCAATGTAATTACTTGTGTACTGCATTAATGCGGTGTTTAAGCCGTTCATGCTATACCGTTTCGATATCTTAAAAAATCTCGTAAATGTTATCAATCTAATTATGCATTATGATTTCTTACGTTAAGTAATATTATTTACCCATAAATTGCCCATAAATTTATATGAAAGCAATTTCCGCACATTCTCGTCAGAAGAAAGTATCCCAAAATTACGGATGAGAAATATTTTAAGTCACATTCATCATTTTTAGAACATTCTAATTTATAACTCAAAGAGAAGACAAAAAAAACATAAAATCGATTAATTCTATGATTTTTCTGTGGTTTGCAAGTATAAATAATGTAGAACTTAAAATTTCCGCTCTGGACGAAAATCGGATATTAAATTGTGTCAAAAATAATAAAATTTTATAGATAGAAAATGCTGTAGAATATATCGCCACATTTTCTGTTTAATATTTGTAATATTTGTATGTGTTTTATAATATTGTTTTACGTCAGAACTACGTGACATTATGTTCACTTCTTTATCATATATTTGCTGAACTTCTCGTGTTGTTTCAATATTCTATTTAGGCATTTAACGCTTGTTAGTTAAATAGCTATAGCTTCTACTTAAGTTGCCATACGGTCTTTTGTTTGTTTCTTTATCTTCTCCACTCATTTTCATCAAAAAATTTTTCTCTTATTATCGGAATAATGGACGGTGTTTTGCCTCGATATATTGCATCTCGTATTCATTCCTGCGTGACGTTAACATTTTTCGCATTCCAACGACTATTTTCATATAAATATATATTTGACCATATGTAATAATATTGGTGATTTAGTTGCGATAGATCTTTTAAGGGAGTTACGAAAGAGATATTCTTGCAATCTTTCAGACGACGGTCATGGTCGGGTCCACGAAAGTTGAAGAGGGCAATGGTCCCAAGATCGAGACCTTCGACGACATCCTGCCATATGTTGGCGAAGCGGGCAAATACCAGTTGTTCCTCTTCTTTCTACTCTTACCCTTCACAATTGTTTACGCTTTTTTATACTTCGCGCAATTCTTCATCACTCTCGTGCCTGCCGAATACTGGTGCACTATACCAGAGCTGGAACACTGGAATTTCACCGACCATGAAAAGTGAGTTTAAACGAGAAAGAAACAATTCTTTTGGCAATGCTTATAAATTAAAGTAATGCAATTAAAGTAAACGTAAAAAAATAAACAATATTTTCATAAATTGTTATAATTAAAAATTAGAGAATACAAACAGAAGTTCTGATAATTTTTATAAATAAAGGCACGAAGCAATTAGAAATTTGTAAGACAATGCAGAAAATATCTAGGTATTTAGCATGACCGAAAGATAAAAGATTTGAAAGATTCGAAAGACTTCTTCGCACAATTCGAGATATAAGAATCTTACATAACAGAATAACATCGATAAAATGGTAGAAAGTGAAATTCTCTTCATCTTTAATTCATAATGACAGTTCAAGTTCACTCGTTTCGAGCTGATCCAGACTTTGGGCCATGGTTGGTTTGGCTTATATATAAATTCCTTGCGTGCTGAATTATTTGCATACATATAGTGTGTCTCAAATTTCTTGCATTGCTCTTTATTTATACATTAATGATATTAATTAATTATTAAGTTACTGATGATTAAAAGTTGAAGAATTTTCAAATTACTGGTGATTAAAAGTTGGGAAATTTTCGAAAATTAGCTTTCTTAAAGAAATGTTACAAACATTGGCTCGATTTTCTTGTCTAATTAAATTTTTCGAAATTTTAACATATTTTATAAATCGATGAAATATTAATATATAAACATTCCGCGGCTAAATGTATATTTTATTAAATTTTAATAATAAGATTTTATCACTCTCTACACACACACATACATACGTACAAATTTTTATCGACTCAATTAGTGCAAACATAAAATCCTTATTTTGTTTTAAACGGAATTCTTTTCAGCGTTATCGGGTTTTCCCAAAATTGGGTGACTTTGTGTCACTTTAAATAGAAGTTATGAATAATGAAAAACACATAGTATTTCCAACTCGTGCAATGATTACGTCAACTAAGAAATTAAATACATGATACGATAAAGATAGATCTTCTTTCGTATTAATGCAAATCAATCGGCTATATAATTCTGTTTCGCGAGAAAAAGTGTTTCTCCGTCAGAAATAACTACACTTATAATTATATTACACTTCTTGTAGCATTTCCGTTGTAAAGGAATAAAAGTATATAATTAGAGTTTTCTTTTATTTTTATGCGTGACAAAATGAAAATTGCAACAGTTACATAGGAGACTAATTTTGACACGTTTGATGGGCGCAATTTCGGAATTTGAACTGTATTACATTTTACTGATAAACTAATTTTTCGTTAGAAGTCTATAGTGTTTCCTAATAAAAAATACTGTTAGAAAAAAACTTGAGACTATGATAAAAAATGATTTAGTTATTTAATGTTTTTAATATCCGAAACGATACAAAGATAAGTCATATCAGAGATGTTTATCAAGAAGAAAAACCCATCACTGCTATGGCTCGTGATTCAGATTAGTCGATCAGTGGTTTCTCCGCGTCAGATGTTATACAGAAAACCAGTTTTGGCTGTCGATCTCGAGGAGATTCCACTGAAACTCGAGAAAGAGAACGAGTAAAAAAAGTTTGAAGGGAGAGGAAGGTTCTCCTTGTTGAAAGACTACATAGGTTTTTACGTTTCCTTACCTTCCTATCGAAGTCAAGGGATATATCGAAAATATAAATCGTTCGAAACTAACCGCGATTTTATAACAATAAGTATAATAATAACAATCGTGCAAAATAAATGTACGATGACTTGAAACGATGATCTCGGATAGGAATCGAAAGAATTTGCTATTGCGCGCGAATATATTGTATTATAAATATACAAGAAATAGCAGATACGCATTTGCGGAATAAAATAACGCTTGTAGAATTTTTATGCGAAAAAATACGTTTTTTACGTAGGAATGGCATTTCTTCGAAAACAGGATTAATAAAATAAAACTTGCTATCTCGCTAATGTAATTTTCATGCCAGTAACGCGTTTGTGTCAATCGTAAATGACGCATTTCTAATGAATGCGCCGCTTATTTGACAAACGAAATAACTTTTGTTGTCGGCGGTAGCGAAATTAAAGAGATACAGTGCGCACATTACAGGAAAAAAAATATATCGCAGTTATATAGCCGTTCGTATTAAAATTCAATATTGTTCGTAGAATCGCGATAGCGATACCTCCGGCTACGGAAGAGGAATTGCTGCTGGAAAGCTCCACGGTGTTCTCGAGATGTTACATGTATGATGTAAATTATACCGAGCTGCTCGCGCAGGGTGTTAGACATAGCAATTTGTCGTGGCCGAGGGTCCGTTGCAAGAAAGGATGGACCTTCAATCACACAATGGTACCATACGCCTCGATCGCTGCCGAGGTAATTAACGATAAAATGCTAAGACTTTATCATTTTACGTGCGTAAATTTTTCTTGCGTCGCCGAAGTTGTTCGGTTAATAAATTGTCATAGTCAGCAAAATGACAATATCAACAAGTATGCGCGTATTTCATTCTTTTTTTTTTTTGTTTACTTTTTCTTATCTCGTAAAGTATTTAATTTTATCGCGCTCTTTTATTTTGCGAAACGAAACTTGTATCGGAAGCGTCATTTATACATACCGGTTTTTTCATATATTACATAATGTTGAATATAAAAACCGATCGTTATTAATACCAATATGATGATAGTCGAGGAACGTGTTTTCAATAATTGAATAACAATATCTTAGGAAAAAACATGGATTATATACCGATATTTTAATAGCATATATAACATATACAGGGTATTAGAAAAACCATTCAATATTCATATGGTAGATAAGACACACTATAATGAGTAAAAAAACCTTAGTAAACATAAGTCGAAAGCTCCACCGTTTCTGAAACATAAATATTTTTGTATGTTAATATTATTATTGACTTACTGGCTTGTACGTGTCGCATGTGATGTTTACCTCAGTGTTTATAAACCGCGTTCTGAATGTCCTCATTCAATTTCCATACATATTTTATAATAGAAGATTTCACCGACAATCAGTCAGTCGTCATCAACCGGCGATTGCGGATCTATAAGAAGAAAATGCCAAGCGTGTATGGTAATAGAAGGAGGACATGTGGAACCTTCTGTAAATATCAAGATAAAGATTTAGATAGATTATCTTCTTCTCATATCGCATGCGACACGTAGAAGCCAGTAAGTCAATCATGATATGGTATGTTCTATCTACCATATAAATATTGAATGTTTTTTTATCATCTTGATGATATATGACATCTAATGTACGCGATATAATATGTGATTATAGAAAAATTAGTTCGATATCAAATCACTGTGATATAAATTCGCCTATTGAAAAATAAACGCAATGAACATTGTTGATCACAATTATCTCTGCGTTTATTAATAATTATAATAAACAAAATTTATTATATTTTGCCAGCTCGAATGGATTTGCGACAAGACTTTTCTCAGTTCCGCGGCCCAGTCGGCCTTCTTCGTCGGCAGCATCATCGGCGGTCTTATATTCGGCTACATAGCCGATCATTATGGCAGAATCCCGGCGTTAGTGTCTTGTAACGCGGTAGGATTTTTCGCCTCCATCGCGACCGCTTTCTGCAACAGCTTCTTGACCTTCTGCATCGCAAGAATGGTTGTCGGTTCATCATTCGACAATTGCTTCAACGTTCTCTTCATTATCGGTATGGATCATCAAGATGAATGCAAAGTTATTAAACGAGATATTACACGAAAAATTACGAAAAATCTTTAAATAAATTTTTTGTCTGAACAAAGCGGCCTATTTTAAGGATGTGTAAATAGGTATTTGAGAAACTTGTGTATTTTTATTAATCAGCAGCTTGGATTAAAATTACTTTGATTACTTGTTTTAAATTCTCAAAGTAAATTTTCGATGGAAATTTTATTTGTTAATAATCTCGATGAGCGATTACCGATTGATATTATTCTAATCGCAGTGATCGAGTACGTTGGCCCAAAGTATAGAACTCTGGTGGCGAACATGTCCTTCGGAATTTACTTTGCTTTCGCCGCTAGTATTCTGCCATGGATCGCGTATTGGATCTCAGATTGGAGAATTTTAAGCGTCGTAACTTCATTCCCGATGATCGTCGCTTTCCTTAGTCCATGGATGGTTCCAGAAAGTGCACGGTAATTATTATATGTTACGTATTATTATGCATTATATTATAACGAATTTGTGATTTCAATTATCTTTTATGAAGCTTGTTTGCAGTACAGATGCATAATATAATTGATCTGTACTTTATTGATTAGATGGTACATTATGAGCGGCAAGGTCGACAAGGCGATTGAAATGCTGAAGAAATTTGCAAAGGTCAACGGTAAGGAGGTGAAGCAGGAGGTGTTTGAAGAGTTCGAAAAAAGCTGCAAGAATTTAATCGAGAAGGATCAATCGCACAATCAGTACACCGTACTGGACCTTTTCAAATTGCCTCGGCTAGCTCGTATTACTATCATACTCATTATTTATTGGTAAGTGAGTCACCGAGATGATAAGTTCCACTTTACTTTGTTCCCGTTTGAAACAGTTATTAATCGAGAATTTGGCTTTCAGGTTGTTGATGGTTTGGGTATTCGACGGACACGTTTGGAACATGAAGTTGTTGGATCCCGACGTATTCACGTCGTTCTCCATAGCCGCGATGACCGAGCTTCCAGCAGCGATTTTGCTGGCGATATTCCTTGACAGATGGGGCAGACGATGGATGGGTTTCGCCTCTATGTTTATGTGCGGCATGTTCTCTTTCATCGCCCTCTTCACACCTCCTGGTAAATTATATAACTGTCGCAATAATTATTCTCATTTCACAGAGATTTATTTTATTTTATCGCGGAAAATCGCGCCATTAACGTCAATTGAGAGATAAAATCATTTCTTTCTATTGCGCTTTATGATCTTTGAGATCTACATTTTATCGCGTTAAATTGCAATCCCCAACGCACTACCTGTACGATGGATTTACATATCCTTGCAACGCAACATTACAGGCGTACTAACCGTCACCATGGCGATCTTGGCGCGCCTTGGTGTCAATATCGCCGCGAATATTGGTTTCCAATACGCGGCTGAAATGTTGCCGACCGTAGTACGGGCGCAAGGTGTGTCTCTGATTCACATTATTGGCTACTTCGCTCACATCATTGGACCTTATGTGATTTATTTGGTGAGTATTTTGAGAGAAATGTGGCGGAAGAAATTTTTTTTCCCGCAAGATTAGCGAAATCCGTCATCGAGAAATCGATGGTCGATGTTTAATAATACTCAATCATCATTTTCAGGCCGATGTCCATCCGTCTTTGCCTTTAATAGTTCTTGGCCTTTTATCATTCCTGGATGCATTATTGACTCTAACGTTACCGGAAACCTTAAATCAGGATTTGCCCGAAACTTTGCAAGAGGGTAACGACTTTGGTATAGATCAGAGTTTCTGGTGGATTCCCTGCATATCTTCGTAAGTTTTCTATCAATTTCTTGAGTCAAATTCGCGAAAATATATATGAGAATTACTCTTATTCTGAAAGTTTCTAGCTAAGACATCTAAATCCGTAAACTTAACGATTATTTTTGAAATTTGTAGAACTCCGCAATTGAAAAAATCGCTGAGAATAATCAAAAGAAAGAAAAATATATTCTGGTTTCACCATACGTAACATAAGTACATAATACAATTTTTTTTCTGCTGAAAAATACAAAGGAAATTACTTACACTGTCCACCACGTATGGCGCGACGGAGTGAGCGATTATACCAAAAATGTGGATCAACGAATTTGAAATTTGTAGAACTCCGCAATTGAAAAAATCGCTGAGAAAGAAGAAAAAGCAGCAGGAGGGCGTGACAAACGCGGGCTTCCACCACGACAGTATCCAGACGATCGACTCCACGAGATTATAGCGGCCGATTCGTTATAAATATCAAAATTGCCAAATCGTTGTAAATATTGTGGGTAAGTCGCCCGCACATGTGATCATCTTATTGTTAGATATTAAGCCATGAGATACGCCAAGTGCAGTGTGTGTGTGTATGTGTGTGTGCGCGCGCGCGCGTGCGTGTGTGTGCGTGACGCGCGATGACCAAACAAAATGCACGTATATAAAGTTACGATGTAAAAAAAGCAGGATGCACGTTCAGATGCAGACAGGGATGCGAATGCATATCGACTTTATGCACTTTAAAGCCGCACGCGATCGTCCCGAGAGCGCCAGATTATCTTTCAAATCTGCATTGCATTTCTTTGCGATATACTTTACATCACGTTGTTACAATGTGGATTTTCGACTCGCAGCTCTTTTCGCACAGAAAGGATGCAGCATATTACATGTACAAAGTTATTTAATTTTACGTGTACAAAGTTATTTATAGCTTTAGCGAGAGAAATTAATCATAGTAACGTTGAGTTTTTTTCGCTGTGTCGTTTGCAAGATATCAATGAGGTGAGAACCGAAAAAAAATCGATGGGTTTGATTTTCTTGCGTTTTAAAGGATAATCATAAATCATAAAGTTTTAAAGCGATAAATGGTGTTTATGGTTACCGTAAAACTTTACGGTATGCAAATACACGAACTCAACGAAATTAGATCGATTCCGATATCTATTACGTTCGGCTCTTCGCTCATTGTTCCTTTTTCCTGAAAGGCGATATCTTTGAAATCTCAAAATACGTAAGAGGTGACTTGTTTCTCGTGTCAAATAAGATAAAAGATCGTCTTATCATATTCAATATTCTTGGAATATAAGACAGACTAGACGAATCGTGCTAGACATGTGAATGGACGGAATCGCTGTCGCTTTCTTGATGCGTCATCAAGAATTACGTAATTGTCGACGGCTGTTATGAATTAATTAGTGTTATGTAAGTAAAATATTTTCAGTAATTTAATATAAAGATAGAACTAGCGTAGTCTTTTTCACACCTTGCGATGAAAGCATTGGTCATCTTTCACTGCCAAATGTGAACATTATCAAAACATACATGGGACCACACATTTTATATTTCAGTCTCAATTCGCTCATCAACGTCATCTAAAAAAGCAATCGAATAATGATGTATAAAATAAAAATAAAATTTATCCTATTCTCGTGTTCCATCGTTTCTGCTCTTCGAAACGTAAACTTTATTCTAGCGTGTTTGCGATTTATTCAAAGTAAATTCTTTTAATATTAAAGAAAGCGCTCATTAAATCGAGAAATTGATCATGTCTGTAAATTTTATTGATTGGTACAAAAAAAGACATAGGGTTACTGGTTATATATATTGTCATGTGCCGCGCGCGAAAAAAGGCGCCATAAAAAATTTCTTAACTACATTTCCTCGACTGTTGCAGAGCGAGGATCATTATAATATAACAAAATTAAAAGAACTATAGTTCGCGCGGACTATAATGTCGATGCCGGTCCGATCTCTTGCAACAGGGTAGCGCCCAGAAGCTTTGGTCCTTGCCGAAGTCCTCACCCTGACGTAGGGTCTGCGGGAGATCGCGACCGAGCGTCTCCGGTAGGAATAATATCACCGTAGCGGCCAACAGAGATACGACGCTGATGATCATCATCGGTAAAGCGTCCCAAATCTTAGCCTAAAGCAATTTCAATGAATTAAAATGAATTTTTTTAAAGCGGTACATTTGTGTACATAGATTGATTAAACTTTTTTGCTAGCCTTAGCGAGCAATATTCCAATAATTCTCTCAATTATCTTATTATGCGATAATACACTA